TCTTTGTTATAAGACTAGAGAGGGAGTTGAAGTAAAGTTGAATTATGGAGGTCAACTTAGAGTCTAAAGGTTTTCACTTGAGTAAGATCTAAAACGGAATATATGAGAGTTTAATTTTTACGTGAAATAGACCTAGTGAAAGGATTGGTGACTTTGGGCGAATCAAGTAATTAATAGAGTAGCAGTTTTAGATTCTTGGATCTATTGTTCCAGAGTGATGGTGAATATAGATGGGGATACTTATCAGCAGATTCAAGTTGGATTAGGTTGAGTGGGGAATGCATTGGGCTTGTTTTGTGATAGAAATGTACCCTAACTTTAGAGGAAATCTATAGATGGTTAGTGAGGCTTGCAATCCTTTATGGTGCCGAATGTTGGCCATTAAAGAGAAGCAAGTACTAGTTAAGTGTGGCAGAGATGAGGAATGCTACAGGATGGATGAGGTGACTTTACCCTTAGAGATAGGATAATGAAGCGATTAAGTTGAAAAGGGATTGGAGTGCTCCAATGTAGAAGATAAGATTAGAGAGGTCGCTTATGATGGTTGGTCAATAAAACGGTGCGGCCATTCGGGCGGCCTTCCGATGACCCGGTTAGGAGAGTATTAGATTTGTCTTATGTTAAGAAATGTAGGGGTAGACCTAAAAAGACTTGGTTAGAAAATATTAGGAATGATCTTTCTTTATTAGATTTAAATGAGAATTTGACTTTTAATAGGACACAATGGAGAAAAAGGATTCATGTAGCCGACCCCACGTAGCGAGATAAAGGCTTGATGTTGTTGTTGTTGTTGTTGTTGTACTAAAAAACTGTTTTAAGAAACAGTAAGATTGTCGTCCCAAACGAAGCCTAAATCTTATGCAATCCTCTAATTGTTAAAACGGTAAAACCATTTTGGCACTCCCTCCAAACACGAAAATCACATCTTTTACAGTAGAGTGAAGAAGCTAATCTGTCAAATATCTAGGAAATTTAGTTTCTGGAATGATTTGTCTATAAATTTTCTCTAAAATGAATCCTTTTTTATTCCATCATTTACCTCTCCAACATATTATGTATATCTGAGAGTTTAATTTGATTGTATCTGACCATTTTGTATTTTAAACACCATACCTGGATTAACCAACAGGTCAGGGGAATTTTGTCGGAAGCGGTGGTATCAAATGATTAGGTCTCTTGATAAATTTTGGGCGATGCCATTTGTTGAGCAACTTGATTTACTTTCACAGCGATACTGTGAAGACATGATCAAGTATAGGGAAATGACCCAAAATTATAAGCCTGGTCTTAGTAGCCAACTTTGTATTCAAAAACTGCTAAAGAAATAAATGCAGCCTACTTTGGATTTTTGACTCTGAAGTTGATTTTTAGTTTTCGAACATTTTAGCTTTTCCCCTTCCCAAGTTTTCTTTCTTGAGGAAATTTGTGAAATATGTGTATGCAATTAATTATATCCTAATATTGTTTTATGTGGAGCTAACTGTTTGTTTTATTAAAATTTCAGGCGTTTTTTAATCTTATCTCTAATGGCTTGTTTTGGATAAATTTTTATTGTTTTTTTTTTTTGGAATGTGTTAAAGAGATAATAAAATATTTTATGCTATTTTTTATATTTAAGATATATTTATTTATTTAAAAATGTTAAATTGGTTTACTGAGTGGTCCAGATTTCAAAATAACTACAACGCAACCTTCTGTAGTTATTTGATTTTATTAAAATAGTTTATAATTTGAAATATTATAAACATAATGTTTTGAATTATATATAAAATTAAATAGCAAATAAATAAACAAAATTGCAATCTAAGTTTTGTAATTTTCTTTTATTTGTTTTAGTTTTTGACAATAATAAGGTCGTAATAAAAATTAAATATATCTTTATCTTAAGTAATGATACAAATAAGATAAGTTGGAAAACAGTAATAAAATAATTACGATTCTAGAAGTTTCTTGACGAAATTTTTAATAGCATGGGGCAACAAATTGAGCGTTCATAAAAATTCAAATTTCAAATATTTAAGAAAAGATACTGTAATTTGCCTACATGAGAGTATTAGTTTATTCTAAATTTTATTGAATGTATTTATTTAAATATGTTTAAGTAGTAAATCAATAATTTAAAGATCACCCATCTTAATGCATAAAACAATAATTTTATATATTTTCATAAGTTAGTGAGCATATCAAATATATAATTCTTAAATTGGATTTGGTTACATGTTAGCGATGGAAGGGAGTAAGCTTTCATAAAATCACTTAGGTTTTATTTCGGACTGATTTTATTACTATTTTTAAAAAGTAAGTTTTTATTATAAAAAATATTAAAAGGTTATTTTTAAGAAATAATAATAAACCTGTTTCAAATAGGGCTGTCAAAATCGAGTCACGGATCAGGTTCGGGTCCAACTCGAAATTGACCTGACATTGTTCAACCTGACTCGAACCTGACCTGTTTTTGCAAACGGGTCAGTTTTTTTAACCCGAACCCGACCCGCTTCGATTCCGGGTCAACCCAAACACGACCCGATTTGGGTATATTTTATTAAAAAATTTTTATTTAATTCAATTTATTTAAATCTAAATCAAATTAAGATAAGATTTACTTCAATTAATTTAAAATAAATTAAGATTAATTTAATTTGGACAATAATGTTTATAATTTTTTGAAATATCATTTACTTATTTCATAAAAATCATTTAAAACCCTCCTAAATTAATTAAAAACGGGTCAAACCGGGTTGATTTTGGGTTTCCGGGTCAACCCGAACCCTGTTTTACAAACGGGTCGAAATCCCGAACCCGACCCGGTTCGAATTCGGGTTGACCCAAACCCTAAATTTCTGGGTCTGGTCAAATATTGACACCCCTAGTTCTAAACGTAGCATTGATTTGAAAGTCTTATGCTATAATATGAGTTTATAATATTTTTTAGTATCTAAATATTTGCTATATTCATTTGTTTGACATGTGATCTAATTTTCTATAAAATGTGAATTTTGGTATACTATATTTTTTATTGATGAAGATGAGCGGTTAGAAATTTTGTTGGATGTCATATGACTGAAAGATAAGCATAATGACAATATTGTGCATAAAATGTCTTTTTTGGTATAAAGAAGTTTATGGTTTATTCTTATAAAAACAAGTCAAGGCTAAGGTTTAATCTATAAAAAAATTCATTTGGAGTACACTGCTTGCTTTTAATGAGAACTTTGATGAAATTGAGCCTTCATGGTCGACGGCGGGTGGTTATCGACAACTAGATTGGCGCACGTATTAACCCTAATATTGGTTTTGTCATAACCAATAAAGTTGACGTTGTCCATCAATATCAATGCATATATATATCATCGACGCCAGCACCAATGTTTATGCCTATTATTGGAATTGGTAATAAGACTCGCCTTCATAACCAATATTAACTGTAATTGTAAACATAGATGTTGGCTCCCCTCATTACTAACAAAGTTAGCGCCCACCATCGACACAAGCGATGACATTAATCATCATCAATAATGTCAATATCAATTGTTTTTAACAAGAATGATGCTTGTTGTTAATATCGAGTAGATCACTTAGAATATTTTGATGATAACTCCAATGTTTCAAGCATTTTCTTACTTATATCATAAAAGTTATCTTTTATGCCATTTAAATTTACTATATTATATCAAAGTCTTCTTTATTTGAAAAGAATTGTATCTTTTGTAACCTACAACTCATATTAGAGAAGTCATTTTAAGTAGGATAGATCCTATGATTTTTTTTATTTTCTTGATTTTCATGTGTAAAATCTCATTATTCATATTAGATGCTCTCAACTTATCTTATTTATGTGTGTAAAGAAATTTATTATAGTGCTAAAATTATAAATTTTCTTTCTACTACCATAAATGTCATTGCACGTAGCAAGATTAATTCATTTTTTGGCCCTTTATTTATAAGTTTGGGCTAGGAATTTAAATGTCATAGGATGTTTTTATATTTATTGTTAATTATAAGGCTTATGAGTTGTATAACCCTACTAGGCACATGTATATTAGTTGGTAATCTTATGATAACATACTACCCAACCAATTTGAGGAAATCTTCGACCTAACTTGAATCTTATTTCAAAAATCTCTTATTGTAGATAAGTTCAAATTACAATGTAATCTATGATTATTCATTGTAAGCTAGAATCTGCTTGGCTTAACAATATTCTTTTATAGTCCTGCCAGGTTTTGGCCTACTAATTATCTTGTCTTAGCTGGGATATTGAGCTAAGTTCGTATTCATAGAAAGTCTTATGCAGCCCCTAATTTTCTTCTATGATGCCTGTAAAGTATCCGTGGGCCGTATAATTGGGGTGCATCAATTGATGACTCAGTGCATAAATGTCACGAGTCCATTGGCATAGACTTAGGCCTATTTCATTAAGACTTTGTTTGGGACGGCTTTTTTATTGCTTTCTAAAATAGAATTTTAGTACAAAAATAAAAAAAATTGTACTAAAACTCTGTTTTAGAAAGCAATAAAAAAACCGTCCCAAACAAAATCTAAGTGAATAATTTTTTATAGGTCGGGAATGAACTTGGGTTACATGAGCACTTTTAACTTTATTGACCGCATCTTTTGAGGTAACTGATTATTCCGAAGTAAAATCACTTCGGAATCAATTTGGCTATTGGGCATTCAGAATTGTAACAAGCCTGCCTGAAATTATTCCCCTCCAGCCAAAAAAAGATAGAAACATGAAAACTTATCTGCTATTTGGATCGGAGAATTTGCCCATAACATTCATTTCAAATACTTGCTAGCTTGGCATAACAAAGACCACAAATTCTCAACGAAATATCAGACCCTCTGAACAGAAAATTTCAGACAGGCCTGGTACATGTGGCTCCACTGAAAACTCCAAGAGGATCCTCTTATCTGATTCTCACAACACGTGTCAACAATCTGCTGGACACCCAAATGAAACCTTATCTTCCGATTTCTCTTAAGATCTCCCAGCCCCCGCTTCTGCCACACGCTTGTTTTGGGCTTCATTTCATAAGGAAGACAGAACTCCAATTTTTTTCCCTTCACATCAGTTCAGACATCCAAGGAAGAGAAAGCAAGGTCTACAATGGCATCAGCTCAAGCCTTGCTCTCCTCAATGGAGGCCGGAAGGCAGCTCCTTGGTGGGAAGTTGCTTCAGTCGTCTACCTCCTCTAGGACCATCGGCTCTCAGAGAAAGGCCTCATTTTTAGTCAGAGCTTCTTCTTCCCCTCCTGCTAGGGTCAGTAAATCACCATTAAAGCTTTCTTCTCTCCTTCCTTTGAAGCGCTTTCAATTTTGTTTAAAGTTCTCCTTGATGTCTTCTCAGCAAGGAGCTGACAGGCAGCTATGGTTTGCTTCCAAACAATCTCTCTCCTACTTGGATGGAAGGTATTTTTTTCATATATAGCTACAGTAAGGTGACCTGCTGGTTCAATATTTTTGTTCTTTATGGAAACAAATAGATATCCTGATTGGTTAATGGGGATGTGGGATTAGTACTTCTACTCTGAAGGAATTGAGAAGGGAATGGGATGGACCAATGGAAAAATCTCTCTTTTCCTGTTCTTGTTCGCCCCCCTCCTCTTCCTGGCGGACATTATTAGGTCCGGAAGTAGAGATACGTCCAGAGTCCAATAAATTATTGACATGTGGAGTGTACGCATGGATACTTTATAAATTAAATGTGTCCGCTGAATTTTAAGTCAAGCACATATAAAGTGCCGTCAAAAAACACAGTCAAAGCATAAGCCACTTGTTAAATTTTAATTCGATATCCGGATCTATTTCTAAATCGGGTGTCTGAACCTAATAATTTCCCCCTTCCTGGAGCTTAGGCAAGCTAGAGTTGCCCAGCTATCTTATTCTTTCCCTGTTCTTATCAAATTCTATAGGAAGGTGATCACATAGACTTACCATTTATACAACTTCATGTACTTGCAGCCTTCCAGGCGACTATGGGTTCGACCCGTTGGGCCTTTCAGACCCGGAGGGCACGGGCGGGTTCATTGAGCCCAAATGGTTGGCTTATGGAGAGATTATCAACGGGCGGTACGCTATGCTCGGCGCAGCTGGCGCCATTGCCCCAGAGATCCTCGGTAAACTCGGCCTCATCCCAGCTGAGACCGCCCTTCCCTGGTTCAAGACCGGCGTCATCCCTCCTGCAGGCACCTACAACTATTGGGCCGACTCGTACACCCTATTTGTGTTCGAGATGGCGCTCATGGGCTTTGCCGAGCACCGCCGGTTTCAGGATTGGGCCAACCCGGGTTCCATGGGGAAGCAATACTTTCTCGGGTTGGAGAAGTTCTTAGGCGGGTCGGGCGACCCGGCTTACCCGGGTGGCCCGATTTTTAACCCGCTGGGTTTTGGGAAGGATGAGAAGTCTTTGAAAGAGCTGAAGCTGAAGGAGGTGAAGAATGGGAGGCTCGCCATGCTGGCTATATTGGGCTATTTTATACAGGGATTGGTGACTGGGGTGGGGCCCTTGCAGAATCTTCTGGACCATTTGGCTGACCCGGTCAACAATAATGTGTTGACCAGTCTTAAATTTCACTAGAGAGAGAGAGAGAGAGAGAGGAGCTTAGGATTGTATGGTGTGTGCGCCAAAGGAAGCCGCTGCTTTGATCTATTTTGGTGTAAATGATACAATTCGCGTGTAATCTATTTTGATTGTATGCTGCTTGTTTTCTGCATAAATTTCCAGGTCAAATAAATAGCTGAAAATATATTAAAATTTTATATTTATATTTAAATAAAAAAAACTTATAAAATTTTTATATTTATTTTTTAGAAAATGAATTCCAAAAATTAACTGCTAGTAAAAGATGGTGAGCTAACTTCACTTTTTAATTATCCATTAAATAAAATTAATTTTTAAAATGTATTAACTCACGGACTGTTTTGGGGATGTGAAGTTGATGTGAAAAAAATAAATTCTCTATTATGATCGTAGAAAATAAATTTTCATTATAGAAATTTTAAAAAATAGAAATAAAATAATAGTAAAAAAATATTATGATTGCTAATGGAAAAATAAAAAAATAAAAAAAAGTTGTTCCAAATAAATTCTTAATGAGTATAAATGCCACTTCTAAATACATTTGTGCCATACTAAATAATACATGTTACACATACATTTACTTGTTCATGTTTTTTTTTTTAATATTATCCCTAAAATTTTATTAGATTCCACATGAATTTGAAGGCAATTTTAAAGCTAAAATCATTTAAATTAAGAAATTTGAAGATTCAATAAAACTAATTTGGGTTAGTGTGAACACCAGTTTTAAAAAAATATCTAGTTGAAAAATGATTTCGGCAACACTTAAAATAGGCTTTGTGGAGTTTTTAACTGCCACAAAAATAGCCTGTAACAGTTTCAAAACAGCTGCATATCCATTGTATTTGATTCCCGCTACAAACGCAATTCACAATGGTTTGAAAATTGCAAACCTAAAAATTAGAATCGAGACCGAGACAATTGAACTTATAAAGTAATTAATAAGGAGATTATACACAATTTAGTTTGCAAGTAAGAAATTGATCGCTTTTTTCATTACGTATAAGAGATGGATAGATACAGAGAGAGAGAAAGATATATATATATATATATATATATAGAGAGAGAGAGAGAGAGAGAGAGAGAGAGAGAGAGAGAGGATGTGTGTTAGTGTCAACAAATGCATAGGTTTCTTCTGACACTGTATTAAAAATATAACTTGAGAAGTATTACAAACTAATTCCCTCTGATATGAATTGCATTGATAGAATACCTTCATATAAATCACAAATAAAACAAGAGGATCAATGGTCCTTATTACCAACAAAAACAAGAATCACAATCTGCAAACTTTACGAGCAGACCTAATAGTACATGATCCATGATGTTTTAACTTATCCATCTCTCACTATTTTAACATTTCTGCTCGCACTAACTGTCCAACCCAAGCTGCCAAAGCTAAAGATTCAGAAAAGTTGGGTGCACAGTTATAAGATCCACAAGCTACTTCAAAGAAAAGTAGTCAAGTAGACATGAGAAGATTTTGGTATAAAACAACAAAAATCATAGAAAAATCAGTCATCGTCTGATACCATATCCATCGCGCGCCACTGCTCAGCTCGCCACCGCTAAATTCATCGTTGCCATCGAATTCCCAATCACGATTAAATCAGTCATCGTAAGTCTTCGAGAGCAACCCCTTCATAGCCCTCATAAGCACCAAAGCTCATTTTCCAACAAAAAGCACTATTCATTTTCTCCTGGAAGAATGTCCAGCGAAGCCATCTTAACATCATGCATGCTTAGGACAAGCTTGACAAACCATAAAGGTTGCAGAAACTTCATGATCAGCTAGGTCATGGTACAACACATCTGATTCTGGATGGCCCCCTAAAAGATCATCAAAACAATCAGGCCAACTACTCCATCATTTTCCCATTTTGACTTATGATGGACCTGTGACAACATCACAATTAAATTTTAGACCCATCAACATCGCAACATCTTGTAGTGTGATTGTCATATTGTTCGTAAAATTTCAGTTTTATTAATTAAGTGAAAAATTCTTAGTATTTCACATATATAGCTTAATTAATTATGTTTTATGAAAATATAGTAGATATTCAGTTCTAAATATTTGACAGAAAATAAAGACCTAATTGGTAGGTCAACTTCAGAACCAGAGAACTTAAATTTTTTTTTTGCAACATGCTAAATTTTGGCAACAGTTCTATCACACATGATAAATTTGTAAGATTACACTACTCCAACTTAAACAGTTTGCATATACGTAGTTGGAGTTGGGTCTGTGTTGGACAACAACCAAAGTAGAAGTCAAACTCATACTGCAAGTCTTGCCAATCAGTCGGGTTTAAAGCTTCCTACGTTTACCTCATGATAATAACATCTTCATTCTTTACTTATATAAATCCAAAATAAATGCTTATTCAGCTAGATCCCATGGTCGATAAAGAATGAGATGTTTGAGGTCACAGGGCAGTGTACAAATAACGGTTGACGTATCCCCAATTCTCTCACGACGTACCTTGTGGAAACACATGTAGGAAGTGAGCACCAACATGGTGAAGATCTCGTTCAAAATATTTTCTCTCACATATTTCCATCCTTTGGAATTTAGAAAATTTTCAGTCCTATTTTCATATATCTTCATAGCATCTCCATGCAAATACCAAAGTATACGTTCATTATTTTCTATCTACACTTGCGTGCAACATCTAAGTATCTCGTTAGCCTTGGCCTATTGCTCTAGCAGACTATCATTAGCCCTTGCAATGCATTCATGAATTCATGCGCTATAAATATCAATGAAATCCTTCATAGGGATGCCGCCAGACTTCTCATTGATCGGCTAATGCATTATGAGTAGGAACTGTAATAATAATAAAGTAATTCTTAACAATAATAGAGAAGAACGTAATATCTTAACAATAAAATAATATATTATAAATGTTCATGATTTTACTATTACAAATAGTTCACTTAGAGTACAATTGGACCAATTCTGTCATTCCAATATAATCAATGTCCCACCAAAATAACTAATTGTCATACATTGTGAAATTCCAACATAATATAATTTATACTAAAACTGTTCGATACGAATATGACTTCTCTTTTATGTGTTATCCACCCTGACGTTGACTGCATTTTTGTTAATGTTGAGCCAAACATTAGTAACGTACTTAAGATTTCATATGAATTGGAAGACATAATAATAGTTAATACTTGCTATGAGGACAAGTAGTTTTGTTGTGCCCACACCCATTGCTTAGGCTGCACATCCTAGAACCATTGCTTACACGATCATCCATTGTATTTTTAAAGCAGTTAGTATGAGGCCTTTATGAATGTCTCCTGCAAGTTTGCAGCGTGATTGGGTCATGCGATGGCCAATCAGCCTTATCAAGCATGTTATGGAATTCACCCAAATAGGTGTATCTGTAGTTGTGTATAATATAGTATTGTGAGACATATTCGTAGTGATTTTGTCACATTACTGATAGAGAACTTATAACATATGGCATATAAAGTGGTGGATTGCAGGGCATCCACAACTACAAAGATAAACACCATTTTTTCTTAAACTCGACATTGTATGATATGTAGTCATGTCAAGCACTTGAAATTCATGTATTACCCTAATTGGTTCCACAACAGGTTGAATAAAATAGCCTTTATGTAGATTTAATAGCCTTTCTTTTGGCATCCCAAGTCTTTATGTAGGACACCCAAATATTAAACTTCGACTCAATCCTACTAATTATTTAATGGGGCTTTATATTGCTTTCACACAACAGGTTGAATGAAATAGCTTATGAATCTTAAATTATATTGTCTATGTCCTGCAAGAAGAATGGGATTGGTGAAGGTGTGATCATACCTAGGGGTGTAAGTGAGCCGAACCGGCTCATGAGCCTGCTCGAACTCGACTCGTTAACGAGCTTGCGAGCCGAGCTTATCGAGCTTCTAGCTCGAGCTCGAGCCTACAATCATAGTATTTATTATTTGTATATTTATAATATTATTTGTATATATAATAATATGCATCACATGCGTCGGTGCCTCTCAAAAGAGCTCGATCTCGAGCTTGAGCTTTTCAAACGAGCTCAAGCTTGATATTTTCTAAACGAGTCAATCTCGAGCCCACTAATCGAGCTCGATCTCGAGCTCGAGCTCATTAAGGATTAAACGAGCCAGGCTTGATAAGGTAAATAGTCGACTCGACTCGACTCGTTTACACCCCTATTCATACCTAGCAGATGATACCTCTAATGAGACACATAAGAGGTTATATGAACTGGCATGCATACGCCACTTATACGGCCTATTCATAGATTTTTAATGCAAATAACATATTGTATATTTATTTATATTTGACAAATAACTTCAAACTCAACATTGTTTATGATTGACCAATCACAAAGAGCAAGCTACAACTCTCTTTTCGTCGTAAAACACATACCCGCAACAATTTCCTTGGGAATATATTGTTCATGTGTAATAGTATCACTATTTATAGCACCATTAAAGACAAGGCCGCTGTCCCATTCCTCAACATTCCGTCACATCCTGCAGAGTCATTTGTACTAATCATTAGATCAATAGTATCACTAGTTTCTCCACAATAATTATGTAATAAAGTTTACACATGACGTAACTCTTCTTCATTTCTTTTGCCCGAATTAGATGACATATCAGTTGACTCACTGATCATTGTTTCGTACTCTTCATTGACTAAATCTCGACTCTCTAACAAAACTTTTTATAGGGGTTCATTATTGATGAATACCACAATGAGGGCTCGGCAACACCAGAAACAACATGTCCACGTAGCGACCTAGTATTAGTGCAGTCATAATAAAACCTTTACACTAAGACATAATCTTTAAATTTATAAATTAATAACAATAGGCTAATAAGATCAAACTTACATGGTACTAGGAACATCGTATAAATGCGCTGCTGGACTACAAGTCAGCATTTCAGCATTGCTTAATGAATTACAGTGCTCCACTTTAGTGGTTGTCGATACACTGATCTTTGATAGTGAACTCTCAATTTCAAAATAAATTATCACAAATTACATATTAGCAAGGCGTAAAATAATGGAGCACACCTCATCATCAATAAGAGGCGATGCAATTACTCCATTGACTACTAGGAGGCGACTAATCAAGTTTACTTTAAATAATGTTGCATCATATCCAAGGACCCTCAACACTTCTAAGTTTAATTGCTCCAATGAGGTGTTAATTGAAACGTTAAGAGGATGATTATGCCCTTCTTAATATATGGGTTAAAATTAATCATCAATAACCAACTAACCCTGGTTCACTAACATCAACATAACAACGGTTGAGTCTATCATGCATGCTATCATAATGAAGTTGTGATAATACCTAATATATCTAATATGTTTTTACAAAATTCAAGTTGAATTCATGATTACTCATAATCAACTAACTAATTTCAAAGTTTTTGAAGTACAACAAAGTCTTAATTCAAGAAAATGCGCTCAAATTATACTATCACATCTACCTAAAACAAACTAACATCTTCACTACCTAATATGTTTTCACTTTTTAACATCTTATGCAAATCTCTGTAAATGCAACAAACAACAAATATAACTTCCTTAAAAGCAAAAAAAAGTCAATCAACAATTTAGTTATTATTCTTAAACATTATACAAAATTTCCTAATGAACTTTAAAAAAACAAACGTTTGCGAGTAAATTTATCAATAAAATTCTTTTGTTAATGTTCATACATTAAAGAAACATGTGAGAAAATTTTTAAACCCGAATAAAGATAACTCAATAATGGCGGGTTGAAGAGTGAAGAAGCTCAAAAATACACATGAGAGGAAGGTGAAAGGGACAACATATTTGAAAGATAAGATAAGAATTTAACTCTCATCCTCATCTTTCATTTTTACAGTATGGGCCCAACACATGTCACCCCATCCCCCCATGCATCCAATGTAGCAAGCTCTCCATCTTCCATTATTGGGCATACTTTATGCCTTTCTAATTTTTATGTGATAACTTTGTAAAAGCTGCTTAATGGCTCACAAATTTGATCCTTTCGTTCATTAATAAAATATAGTATTTAAATCAAAGAATGTAAATATATACTAGTTAGATATAGAGATAATTAATTAATTATAGATAAAAAGAACATAGTTAATATTAACTACAAATATCTTTTAATTCTTATTTAAAAGATTAAGGTTTCATTTAGGACGGCTTTGTTAATGTTTCTTAAATCAATTTTTTAATATCAAACTTTTTATTATAATAATTCTACTGTAGGAATATTAATTATAATAATTTGTCTATTTATTAGCTTCGATATAACAAAATAATATATAATATTTAATTTTTAATATTATATAAATAAATAATAAGTTTAAATATTAAATATATAAATGTATAAATATTATGTGATATATGAAATTATGAATCCCTCTTATTTATTTTTATTAAATTGTATTAATTTGATTGTAACTTTAAATGGCTATAATATTACTTTATTTTTAGATAGTTTTTTTTTTCATCCTTCCTTTTAAAAAAAAGTTTGCTCTTACCTCTTGCTCTCCTGCTTAAAAGGCGCGAACTTTCGCTTTCACTAGCGAAACCGAAGCCCAGTGCCAAGGCTGTCTCATTATCTCTAGGTTTTCTGGCTATCGATTCTCTCTCTATCACTGTCTGCCCACCGCTCTAGCACCACCTCTCATGGATGAATCCGACGCGGAGATCCCCGATGGGTTTCCCGTCGGCATGAGTGTACTCGCCGTTGATGACGATTCCTTTGTTCTCCGGACCCTCGAGCTGCTGCTTCTTAAGTGCGGGTACAGAGGTTCGGATTCTCCCTGCTACTGGTCGCCGTTTATTTTGGATTGTACCTACTTATACGCTTCATCATTGGTTTATCCTTTATGTTTGTGGATTAACCAGTTTTTGGGTCTTTTTTGTACCGTTTATTTGTTTTAGGGGACAAAGATGTTGGGTGATTGTTCCCTTCATTGATCTTTTTTTAATCATACGGAGGCAAAATTTAGTTCTAGATAAAATCTTTAAAAAATATGGTTGGATTTCCTCTTAAAATAAAATTGACTGATTCATTTTTTGTGGGCCATTATAATGTTTTGGAGATCTTGATGAGATTATTTGTTGGCTTAAGAGATATTCTGAGATCTTTTACCCACTTTGGAAGAATTTATAATATATTATGCAGTTTTTACATTGCATTCCTTTTACACTTTTTGTTTACAGTGCATTCATTTTACATTGCATTCCTTTTTCAGGCAACCATCCTTAATTAATCTCTATCATACAAAGATAGGTTAAACACTTAACAAAATACACGTCTACTTTAGAGCATATTGAACTAAATAAGTTTGTCTCAGAACAAAGCTGAAAATGCCATAAGAAATTTAGTTATAGCTTGAGCCTAGCACACCTGTGGTCTAAGGAATAAGGTTATAAAGTCATGGGCCGACTAACCACTATTCCCCATCTTTTTATTAACTATTGCTTATAGATGCAGGAGAGCTTGAATTTATAATGAAGAAGTAAAGAATTGTGTTAAGTGTGATATTGTCATGAAAGAAGAGATGAAATATCTTGATAATAACAACACCTGAATACTGACCAAGTTTCCAAAAAAAAAAAAAAAAATACAGCGCTATAATACAAATGGATATATAAAGTGAAGAAGAATAGGTAAGAACTAAAATGTACAAGATGGGGTTTATTGTTGAGGATGTTTCAATGGAAGAATGATAAACTTTATAGAAATAATCTTTCTTGTAATTAAACTAATGACTGTTAGTCTAGAACTGAGTAATGCAGAAGCCATAAATCTCTATCTTAAGCAAATTTATGCCAAGATACCTTTCCTTGATAGTGATATGGAGGAAGATATCTATATGGTGCAATCCAAATACTTCGTTGAACTTGAAAAAAAGGCCTTGTGTGCAAGGCTGCAGGCTAAACAAAGGCCATACACATTTTCCTTACAAATAATACCAACAATTTGATGTGTTCATGTAGAGGATCAAATTTTGTAGATGCAATGCCAACCGTAGTTGCTATATTAGGAACAAGAAAAAAATGTATTATTTTGTTATCATATGTGGATGCTATGCTAATCTAGGAGTTAAAATTTAAAAGATCAATAACTTACAAGTTTTAGGGGAAGTGATGTAGGACTATGATGCTTGCAATGAATTTAGTAAGAGCTTGCACAACTAATTGATTAGAGAAATAACAAATAGATCTATTTGCAAATAAAACGAAGAATCAAAACGTAAGAGCGGTCACTGCCGTATGGTCGATCCTCGGGTTGACGTCGAAGAAGGTTGAATGGAGAATGTGCATGAAGCTGTGCTCGTCGTAGGAAAGTCCGTAGTCGTTGTCAGGATCAACCATGCAATGGCTTTCGTATATGTGGTAGTATTGATGACATCTTCAAGGCTCTTAGGTGTTCTTGAGAGAAGAGGGATCCTCACAAGAAGTAAGAGCTAAGTGGAGGAGAGGGTCAACCAAAGAAGTAGAGCCACTAGTGGATTTAGGAGTAGGTTGATGGAGAGATTTCACTACAAAATCTGAAATAAGTTTCAGATTTTGAAATTAGAGAGTAGAAAATTAGGAGAGAAAATTTAATTCCTAAAATCCGGGGAGGGGAATTAATGAGAGAGAGAGAGGGGGCGGTTAGGTGAAGGGGCCGGTGGCATGGTGAGAGAGGGAGGGGTTTAGGGAATTAAATATAGAGTTGTCTAATCAAGGGAGTTTTAGATTAAGCAAGAGATCCAATCAATTTCAAATAGAATTTGATTTGAAATTGTTTATGGAAACTTTTATAAAATAGATTAGTAGAATTAGGAGATAATTTAAATTTCAAATTTAATTAATTTGAATTCCAAATTGATCCCAAATTAATTCTAACTAAATTAGGAGACTCAAAGCATGAGAAGGTGGAGTGGGGTCTGTAGTTAGGAAGGCTAGGCCAGCTGCTATAGGAAGGGTGCGGAGTAAATTAAGGAGGCTTTCATGCTTCCTTAATTTGGGTGATTAGATCTATGATGAATTAATTCATCCCAAATTAATTTAAATTCCGATGGAGGGAAGGATTGAAAATTTTTCTAAAATAGATTTTACAATTTAGGAAAGAATTTGAATTTCAATTCCAAATTTGAATTCAAAGACCAACTAAAATATGGCAATCCAAAATTAGTTAGTAACCAAGATGGGCCAAGGGGCTTAGGCCGACGATTGAATGGGGGTTCGGGTAGGGAGGGCCGGCGGCTAGGTGGAAGGAGAGTCGGTGTGGCCGATGATGGTAGGGGAGGGAAGAAAGAAAGAGATGGAAGATAAAACCACGATCCTGACTCGTCTAGGTTGGTGGGTATTGCACAAGCTTCCCTCTCCTCGGGATTTCACTCCAAACTCTCAAGCTCTCATGAGAATTCAAACAAGAGAAACAAAGTTTTGATTAATCATTCATTAACTTTCAAAGAAAAATATAGGGGCTATAAATAGCCTCGTACATAAGACTCAAAATAGAAAAGATTACAATGCCCTCAGGGCTTACATATGACATTCCTTAATAAAAGGGTACAACGGAAAACTAAATAAAACAAATACAATACGACATCATAAATAAGAAAATACATAAAACAAATAAAAAATATAATGACTCAATCGTGGTAGTAGATCGGCGGCCACGCCTCTGATAAACCTTCCATGATCTGATGTCCCCATCATTCTCCAGGGGTGGGAGAAAGCTTGACTCCGTCGAGTAAGTGCCTATGGTGCTCTCGTAGATCTCTAGTGCATCTGGGTCAATCTGCTGCAACTCATCGCGATCCAGCCAAGTATCCTCAGACTCGGGCTTTCCTTTCCATCTGATCAAGTATCTTCTTCGTCCATCTTCCCTTGTGGGTAAGATATCATCACTTAGGATCATATCTATCTTTTATGTCATGGGTAATTTAGGAATATTTGATAGTGGAGGTAGGTTTGACATCTCACATGGTGGGGTCGCACAAGGCTGCTGTATGAGTGGATTTGGAGGGTTAAAATCAGGACATTCATATGCAACTAAATCTTCTATGTTAAAAGAGGGATTAATATTGAATTATGCAGGCAGATCTACTACATAAACATTATCGTTGATTTTCTTAAGTATTTTGAATGGTCTATTACTCTTAGCATGTAGCTTCTTAACCATTTCCTGCGGGAATCGTTCCGGACGAATCCGCACCATCACGGAGTCACCAATATCAAAAGTTTAAAATCGTCGTTTCAAATCTGCATATAGTTTGTATTTCTTATTGCTCTTTTCAATTTGTTGTGCAATTTCTTTATGAAATTCATGCAAATGGGATGCAAATGATGATGCAGACTCAGAAATTCTATACCTATAACACATGAGTATAAGGTCTAGCGGTTGTCTGGGTTTGAACCCGTATACAATTTCAGAAGGACTTAGGCCAGTTGTTCGATTAACCAGTTGTTCGATTAATAGAATTATTATAAGCAAACTCAGCAGTAGGCAAAATGGAATCCCAGTCCTTAATGTGCTCGCCACCCAAAGACCTCAACAGATTACCCAAAATCCTATTAACTACTTTGGTCTGACCGTCCATCTGTGGGTGAAAGGTAGTGGAAAATTGCAATTTAGTGTCCATTTTCATCCACAGGGTTTTCCAAAAATAGCTATTGAATTTCACATCCCAATCTGATACAATGGTTTTGGGCAAACCATGTAAACAGACGACCTCATTGAAATATAACTTCGCAATGTGAGAGGCATCGGATGTTTTGGAGCAAGGAAGAAAATGAGCCATTTTGGAGAACCGATCAACTACAACATAAATGGCATTATTCCTACAGAGTGCCTTGGGCAGGCTTAAGATAAAGTCTATGCTAACATCCTGACAAGGACAACTAGGGTCAGGCAATGGATTTAGTAAGAGCTTGCACATCTAATTTATTAAAGAAATAACAAATAGATCTATTAGTAAATAAAACGAATAATCAAAACGTAAGAGCGGTCACTGTCGTTTAGGTTAAGTTGCACATCAAGAGATTTGCATCATAAAAAATATCGTAGGAAAATAACGTCATGCAAACGTAGTAACGTTCAACGAAAATCCCTAGTCTAACAATAAGAGTTAGAAACAAAGAAGTGCACTCAAATTCTTACGTTTACTAAGCTTAGCAGAATCGGGTGAACACATCCTTCATGACTACAATCAAATCACAAGAGAGGATTAGACTTAAGGAATACAAGAAAAGGAAAAGTAGAAAACCTCCGTCAAAGATCGACGGCAATCCTCCACTCGACGATCTCAAGTTGTTCTTCAATAGCTTCCACCAAGGTGTCCAAGATGCGCTCTATGTAGTCCTCAACCGTATGGTCGATCCTTGGGTTGACGTCAAAGAAGGTTGAATGGAGAATGTGCACGAAGCCGTGCTCGTCGTAGGCAAGTCCGTAGTCGATATCAGGATCAGCCATGCAATGGCTTCGTATATGTGGTAGTATCGATGGCGTCTTCAAGGCTCTTAGGTGTTCTTGAGAGAAGAGGGATCCTCACAAGAAGTAAGAGCTAAGTGAAGGAGAGGGTCGGCCAAAGAAGTAGAGCCACTAATGGATTTAGGAGTAGGTTGATGGAGAGATTTCACTTCAAAATCTGAAATAAATTTCAGATTTTGAAATTAGAGAGCAGAAAATTAGGAGGGAAAATTTAATTCCTAAAATTCGGGGAGGGGAATTAATGAGAGAGAGAGAGGGAGTGGAGAGAGAGAGGGGGCGGTTAGGTGAAGGGGGCCGGCGGCATGGTGAGAGAGGGAGGGGTTTAGGGAATTAAATATAGAGTTGCCTAATCAAGGGAGTTTTAGATTAAGCAAGAGATCCAATCAATTTCAAATAGAATTTGATTTGAAATTGTTTATGGAAACTTTCCTAAAGTAGATTAGTAGAATTAGGAGAGAATTTAAATTTCAAATTTAATTAATTTGAATTCCAAATTGATCTCAAATTAATTCTAACTAAATTAGGTAACTCAAAGCATGAGAAGGTGGAGTGGGGCCGGCGGTTAGGAAGGCTAGGCTAGCGGCTATAGGAAGGGTGGGGAGGAAATTAAGGAGGCTTTAATGCTTCCTTAATTTGGGTGATTAGATTTAGGATGAATTAATTCATCCCAAATTAATTTAAATTCCGATAGAGGGAAGGATTGAAAATTTCCCTAAAATAGATTTTATAATTTAGGAAAGAAATTGAATTTCAAATTTGGGAAAATTTGAATTCAAAGACCAACTAAATTATGGCAATAAAAAATTAGGAAGTAACCAAGATGGGCCAAGGGGCTTAGGCCGACGGTTGAATGGTGGTTCCGGTAGGGAGGGGCGGCTGCTAGGTGGAAGGAGAGGCGGTGTGGCCGGTGATGGTAGGGGAGGGAAGAAAGAAAGAGATAGAAGTTAGAACCACGAACTCGACTCGTCTAGATTGGTGGGTATTGCACAAGCTTCCCTCTCCTCGGGATTTCACTCCAAACTATCATGCTCTCATGAGAATTCAAACAAGAGAAACAAAGTTTTGATTAATCATTCATTAACTTTCTAAATGAAACATAGGGGCTATAAATAACCTCGTACATAAGACTCAAAATAGAAAAGATGACAATGCGCTCAGGGCTTACATACGACATCCCTTAAAAAAAGGGTACAACGAGAAACTAAATAAAACAAATACAATACGACATCATAAATAAGAAAATACATAAAACAAATCAAAAATACAATGACTCAATCGTGGCCGTAGATCGGTGGCCACGCCTCTGATAAACCTTCCATGATCTGATGTCCCCATCAAGAAGTCAACATGAATAGCGAGAAATAAAAAGCCCATATTAAGTTCATAGGTATCTTAAACCTTTCACAACAATAATACATTGAAAAAATGTTGAACATGTTCAAAATAAAGTAAGTAAATACTATAAGTACATTATTTGTTGGCCATTTAAAATTATTTAGCGAACCAATGCCAAAAACTAAAGTGAAAAGAGAACACATCTCCAAAGCCACCTATGCCTTAGGCATTGAATCTCTTGTCTATGCAATCGTCTGCATATGATCAGATATTGCACAAGTAGTGGGAATAGTTAGTAGATACATGCCCAATTTGGAAAAACAATATTTAGAAGTTGTGAATGAGATATTGTACTATCTAAAAGGTTCAATCAATCATTCTTTGAAGTTTAAAGAATCAACTTAAAACTGTAATGTTTTGATGATTTAGATTTAGGTTGAGACATATATACAAGGAGAAATATCACCAGATACATATGAACCTTTGTTGATATCTCTATTAGTTGGATATCACTATCTTAGAAGATAACCACACTATCAACTACACAAGATGAATATGTAGCTAACATGGAGATTGTTTCACTTATAAGTTTACTAAAAAATTTGGACTGGTTAGAAGAAGAAATTAGTCTATTTTGTGCAAAGCAAGACATCATTTATTTGATAAAGAATGTTGCTTTCCACTCTCAATTAAAACTCATAAATTAAATATCATTACATATTGGATTTATTTGTAGCAGATCCTCTGCAGCTCATCAAGATCAAGGTGGCATATATTCTCCTTGATATGCTCATAAAAGTGATATCTACTAAAAGCTGAAACTTAAAAAAGTTGGATTTTCTCCTAGTTGATAATTTTTGTAGTTTCCTTGTATGCCATGCCTCAACACTTATGATATAATGGGTCTAAGCAACATGCCTTAATTGGAAAATAAGGGGAAAAAACTATGGCTAGAGTATAATACTTAATATATATATGGTCTTAAGATAACAACTAAATGATCGACAATCCTTTTTATACTTGAATATCACTATTTTAAAAGCTTCACAAGATTTAACCCTACCATTTGATTTTATAAAGAATCATGCTTATCTCACTCACTTATAAAGTAAACACATACACGCGCAAAAAAAGCAGGATAATAGAGGTAAAACATGATTTTTGGTAAGTTGTAGACCATACTTTCTTAAATTAGTTTATATTTTTAGTAATCGTGAAGGTTTGATATGGGATAAAGGATGCAAACATTAGCACAATTCTGAAACATTTGGAGTTCCAAGGATAACGAGTTTCTGAAAAGAAAAGAATTTGTTGTTATGGTAAAAGTTTAGTTTGAATTGTTGAATGCTTAAAATTTTTTAGTTGTTTAGGTATTTATAACTTTTAATATGAATTGTTCTTTCATATTTGCATATTTCTAATAATAATTGTCAAATATTTTGTAGTCACTGTATCTCAACATGCATTTGAAGCTCTGGAGTTATTAAGAGCGAACAAAGATGATTATGATCTTGTGATTAGTGATGTTAAAATGCCAGATATGGACGGGTTTAAGCTTTTGGAGATTGTAGGCCTTGAGATGGACTTGCCTGTTATCAGTACGTGAACAGTTTTTCACATAAAACTTTCTTGATTTTGTTCTTTATTACTTTCTTTTGTAACATGCTCCAATGTATACAGTGCTCTCTGTTGATTGTGATGTCAAAAGTGTTATGAAAGGTATAATGCATGGAGCAGTTGACTATCTTACTAAGCCTGCGAGGCTTGAGGAATTGCAGCTTATCTGGAAACATGTAGCTAGACGATCACTTGATGAAAAAAAAGATCAAAATACTAGAAAACAACTTGGTCATGCAGCTAAGTTTGAAGATTTTCAAAAATTGCACCAACCCAAAAAATGCAAGGATCGTAATAAAGAAAGGGATAATGAGGATAGTGCAGATTCTGATGAAGAAATGACTCCACAAAAGAAACCAAGGATTACCTGGTCACCAGAGCTGCATGCCAAATTTATAAATGTTGTTAACCAATTGGGCATAAGCAGTAAGTGTATACACTTGCACTTTCCATATTCCTCTGGATAATCTTTTCCTATTCTTGAAAGTTGAACTACTTCTGTTTTAGGGGCAGCTCCGAAGAAAATTCTTGATATGATGAACATCTCAGGACTTACTCGAGAGAATGTGGCGAGTCATTTACAGGTTTGTTCACGGTTCCAACCTTTATTTTATTGTTCTTGTCATATGTGACCTTCATGGCTTCATTCATTGTTAAATTGCTTTTATTTTACTTTGTCATGTAAGCATTAGCCTGCTATTTGAAGCAACCTTCTATTCATTCATTAAATGGTGATTCTGCTAAAGTTAACTTGTTATTTATTTACTTTTATATTATTTACAGAAATACCGAAAAGGCTTGCAGAAAAATGCAATTGAGCTTAGCCAGCAGCTTTTCAAACACCCAGGAGCAAGTGCATATACTGAAAACTCTCTTTTAATGACCGCTAATCCACAAAGAATGGCTATTTGTTCTTTTGACAGACCTCACACCAATATATACAAAAATATGTCTGTAGCATCGTCATGTACTCCTGCTCAGCAATCTTGTAATGGCTATTCTAAAGTGCCATCAACATCGCTCTTTCATTCTCCGACCCATCAGAATAATTTCTGTCAACAATATGCTATGAATCCACATTCAGGTCAATTAGGAACACAACAAGTAACCCTGACCAAAAACTCTTATATGATGACGGCATCAACTCAAGTTTCAAGTTATCAGTCTTTTGCTCCAAGTTCAAGTCAGCTTGATAGTGCTGCGCAGAGTTGTTCTCAAAATCCTAGGAAAGTTGATGTTGATTCTAGGCTGAATTCACTTTACCTGCTGGGACATGCTTTGGACCATCAAACAGTTGATATGTTTATCAGCAATAACCAATCGGATAACTACTCCGTTGAGCTAGATGCAGTACTATCATGTAAGTAGTTGCAGACTAGAATTTAACTTTAAATTATAGGTTTCTTGTTGATTTACTGAAAAATTAGTGCTATTATGTAATGGATTGTTTCCTAATTAGTTCTTGAGAGAAGTGTATGTCCTTTAGTCAAGAGACTTGTAGAAATATGCCACTTTGATTAATACATGCCACTTTATTTTATTTTATTTATATATCTAACACTCAAAACATTAATATTACATGGCTATCACCCATAGAATAATTTGGGTGCATGGAATGAAATATTAAAGTTTATGAGATGATATGAATGATAGAAATGAATTATATGAGTGGTATATTTGATATTGAAGTTGTATATGGGCGGTAGACATATAATATTAATGTTCTGGATGTTAGATATGTAAATAGTTTGAAATAAAGTGGTATGCATGTAAATTTCCTTAAATTTTTTTGATGACCATGATTTGATGCAGCGGTACAAAAGCAGCAGCAGTTTGGTTCCTGCTTGGAGGCCGATGTAGAAGCAGGAGCTCATATAAACTGGGATTCACTGGATGTTCAGAGCAGTAGCCATGAAGATTACATGGGAAGCGGACCTTTTAAGTTTCCAGTTGGTCCGGCAGAACAATTTTCAGCTGAAATAACATTTGCATTTAACAAGGTTGAACACACTGATGATCTGCATGCAGCACTCAAGCAGGTAAATAATTTTATTCTTCTGAAGAATGATTCTGTTTCAACAAAAAATCATGCACTTCTAAATTTTCAATTTAGTAAATCAACTTGTTCACAGCCTTGTGCATTATGTAACTTCCATTACTCTGGGGCCTCTAGTATTGTAAAAAAAAAAGCATATTAGGAATGTTTATGTTCTACTATTTGTTTGCTATAATTTTCCTTAAATTATGCATTTTAGGTGTCTGCTAACTCCCCAATGTAGCAATTCAAATTTTTTTGGATTTCACCTGTTAGCTTTTCTTTTGTTAAGTAATTTAGTTTAATGACATTATTTCAATTTTTAACTTAAAAAGTACTGACATTAGTTTCATTTGTTTTGTGATTATAATCTTTATGTCTACCGTACAAATATTTTTAGTGCTGGTTAAGCTTGTATAAAATATTTATGTGAAGCTGAAGTATGGATCATTGAATTCCCCATAATTATCTAATTAAATTATACCATCAAGTCTGCATGGACATAATATTTCAATTTTCTGATGACTGTTTTCTACAGTAATGAACTTGTACAAGGGGCAAAGTGAATAGAAATCTTTTTTTTTTTTTTTCAATTTAGTGCATGTAAATGTGAACGCTACTCAAATGTCCGTAAAGATAGGGAAGTGATGTAGAATGCAAAGAGATGCAGCGGAATCAAAGAAACTTATTAAATCCAACAAGAGAAGATAGAGACAGGAGACAATAGAGAAGTCTTGGTATTTCAATTCATTAATCAATTAATCCAAAATACAATCCTATAAGCCTATAACCGCTATGTATAAAAATAGAGTTAAAAAGATAAAGTTGAAATCAAATCTAATTATAAATCAAATTCAAATCTAAATTTCATTAAAAAGGATAATTTATTCTTATATCATACTAAATACATTTAAAATCCGAATAAATTGAAATAAATTCCAAAACATCAGAAAATAAATTAAACCTAATTTATATTGTTGCATCAATTTCATCGGATTCAATAAAACTCTTTTCCGAAGGACACTGATGCTCTTTGCTTATAATTTGAAGGCCGTAGTAAACGAGATGGAGGAATCGCTTCAAGAACATTTGTTGAATCTTTTTAGGCATGATACAAAGTTACAAGGAGAGAAAAATTCCCTCTAACTCCAAAATAATAATAGAGCTCCATTTTAAAATTGGCTTTTCCCAAAATGTGAATAATTTTTAATCTTTCAATCGTGAAAAATAATTTTGTTTTAATTTAGAACTAAAGTCATGAAAGAGATTAAGGCTTTGTTTGGGACGGCTTTCTTCTTACTTTCTAAAACAACTTTTTAGCATAAAAATTTCTTGAATTTGAAAATTTTGTACTAGAAAGCCATTTGAAAAAGCAATACGAAAGTTGTCCCAAACGAAGCCTAAGTCACATCCACTAAAAAAATATCTTTTTTTTTATGTCATCTAATCTTTTTATCGTTTTATTCAGCTATTAATTTATATGAAATTAATTTTAAAAAACATTTCTTGTCTAACTATCATTTGATTTTAATTAAATTTTAAATTTAACTTCAGAGATTGGAGGACCTATGTTGGGTTGCAGTGGGAGCTGGTTCAGCCTTTGATATTAAATGATGTAGAGGGGGCATCTAAAAAGGTGAAATTGAAATCCATTTGGGGAGAATAGACAAAAAATCTTGCAATGTCACTGCATTAATCAACTAATTTAAAATATATGCCAATAAACTCTATTTATAAAAGTAGGGCTACAAAGATAACTTTTTAGTTAAAATTCCAACCTGAATATAAAGACTTAAGTATAATTCATTATGATTTCAAAACAAAAGAAACCTAGAATTCTAAAAAGCTGAAAGAAATCCTTTTATACTAAAAATTAAACTTCACCAAACTTTTTGAATTGCATCGCAAGCTACATTGTTGTTTTAAGATAAAAAGGGCTCTGTTTCGTCATAATATCAACAACGCTGTGAAGTATATTACTAGTGCAGTTGCAAACTAAAAAACAACTCTAGAGCATCTCCCCTCCCTGAACGATACTGGGTTGGTATTTTAAATCTTGACTATAAAATCTAAATTTTTTCAAGCCTATCATTTGAATGTTCAACTTATATGCTTCTGGTTTACATCAAAAACATGTACAAGAGTAACACTTGCATCTTTTTTGAAGGATATGACTATTTATTCTCACACGTCTAATACCATTCATTCACCTCGTTAGATGGTTTAGATTTAAAATAGATTTTCTTTTTCAAGTTTCAGAATCATATTTTAAAAAGTTGAAATTTACCGTCTATCTGATCTTTCAAAGAAATGGATGAATGGATATAAGATGTGTGAGGACAAGTGATCACAGCATTTATATATATGAGTTTTTCTGACTTGTAATGTATCAGTTTTTTTTTTTTTTTTGAAATTTGTAATGTTTCAGTTTCAGCGATAGGATTTCTGCAAGGAGACTCTCAAAGAAATTGTATATACTAGAGGTGTTCTTTCTCTCAAGTTGATATTACAGCTAGTGCTCGATGATCCCAACTTATTCGAATTGGTAAGTTTTATGTCTCCTGTTTAAATTCATTTTAAATTCTGAAAACAAACTGAGAATAATTTCGCTTATCTTAACAATATTTGCAGGTGAATGACGCTCCAATATTACTGATTTTAGTGATTTATGTCCTGTATATGATTCCAGCTTGTGGATTATTTCCTCTGCTTCTTTAGTTTCAGGTTTTTGCCAAATATATTTTTAGTTTTATGGGTTTATTTTAAACGATTATTTTCTGTAAAAATTAACTCCAGCGTCTTCTTGAATTTTAGGTTATTTTTTCTTTATCTTTTAAAGTTGCTGTTATTTAAATTTGATTACAGGATCCATGTTTCTTCATCATTTATAATATTCTCAGTTATCTTCTTCCTTCTTTGCTTTTACTTTGCTAATATTTCTTTATGCATTCAATGTAGTTTAATGTGGTTGGAAACATATTTGATGTATATCTTAATTTACATTTTATTTGCCTCGATCAGGGTGAAACAGCTTGCAACACAAAACTTAAATCGGATTCTAGAAGTAGATGAGTGATGGACTAGCTCTAACTTGCTCTTTCTCGAAGCCGTCAAGAGCTGCCTAAGAATTTATGTCACCAATGTTACCTTTTTTTTAAGAGACTGTGAGTCAATTAAGATAACCTCACACACATCACATATATATGTTTCAAATTCAAAATCTCTTAGTTAGTCGCTAATTTTATCTTGAAACAATTCTAGAGGATGGATAATCATCGTACTTGGATGGTCTAGAATGCCTTCTAAAGTTTCTTCATGTTGCAACTCATCATCTACAAGAATTTATGGCTGGTGTTTCCGAAATCCCATTGATCATCTCGCTCACTTTGAACCAACCATCTTTCCCCTCTTTGTCGGCCAAGCTATGACTAGTTGCCTATTCTTCCCAACTTTCAAGGAAGTTTCTCTTTGATGATTTTCTCACAATCTCCTCTAAAGCAACACTTCACTGATTTTATTGATAATTTATTATTCAATTTTTGTGGGAGTCACTCAAGAATTTTCAAGTTCTCTTAAAAGATGTGATTAAAGGTTGAATGAGTCACTTTCATATTTTGTGACTTATTTTTAAAATGAGATGTTGGAAGTAACAGACTTGAAGCTTGCAGCGCTCACCATGGCCTTTGTCAACCCTCATCACTTTGGACATGCCTATTATCCCCTGTCCTCTTGCATCATCTTATATTATAGCGTTTGTCACCACGCACCATTATGATTTTCACTTAAGTTTCATTTGGGACGACTTTATTTCTGCTTCTTAAAGCAGCTTTCTAGTATATAAATTTTATTTTTGTACTAAAAAGCTGTTTTAAGAAGCAATAAAAAAACCGTCCCAAAACGAAACCTTATTTTATAGTGGACAAGTGGCGGGAGTGAACCCTAGAATATTATATATTCATATTTCCTTGCTAGTTATGCCACTGATACATTTCTCTTCAAAAATGTTTGGGAAGCCTCTCCTCAGAAAATTCAAAAATGTTTGGGAAGCCTCATACTAAATATATTAGTAGTTTGATGATACCATGGCCTTAGTGCAAGCCACATACAACCATTATTATTGGGTCTTTGCCCTAACCTTGAAGGACCATTCCTGAAAGTTGCTGACATAACTGTTACCGCACAATATTTCTTTCTTTGATGAACTGCACTAGTAATTCTTCACAAATTTCTCAATCTCCAAACATTTCTTTGAAATCTACCAAAACTCTGCATAACATCTAGTAAGAGGTGCTTGAGTCTATGATGGACTCTTGTTTTCCAAGCTAGGATGGCACAACCTCATATCCAATCACTAAAATGGTGCTTATAATGGGTCTGTGCTACTCTCCATTCAAGTGTTTAATCAACAAAAAGGTTTCCACAACTATGGTAGAACTTCTTGACTAATGTATCCTTGGTGAATACAATAAGAGCTTGACTAAATTAATTGAGGGCTAGGGATCCCTATGGTTTGGTTGGGTCCGTTTGGACTAACCCAAGGTAATTAAGCTTGGTTAATCTCATAAGTTATATGTTTGGTCTTATTATGGGGTTACATATAGTTGATTTAAGTGAATAGAGAGAGAGAGAGAGAGAGAGAGAGAGAGAGAGAGAGGGTTGTTAGGGGATTTAAACAAAATAATAGCAATAATAAAAATAATCTGTAAAAAATCTATATTTTGGCAAAAAGTTATTATTATAAATGTTAAATTTTAATAGGAGATTTTTCATTTTATATTTTTTTATACCAACAAAATAAATCCCAACCATTAATAGAAATTTTATGAACTCTGCCCGTCTATCTATCATATTAAAAAAATTGGAACATAAATGCACAAATATCAATCCAAGGAATTCTATAAGAAAGTTCTTATAACAATTCACTCTATTTAGTATTTACACAGCAAACTAATAAACGCTTAGAGCAAACAAATAATAATCACTAATGCTACACGCATCGGCATAGAAATGAGTACCTTTGTAGTGCAAGAAAAGCAAAGCCAGCTTGCTGAAATAAAGCAAGAAAATCCTTAAAAAAGCAAGAAAATACTAAATTCCAACGATTAAATTTGCCCATTCTTAAACCAATTCTTTCTATTAATTAAAGGAAAAAATATTATGTCCTGATATTTTATATAAAATATATGAGAATATGCTTCAAAGTTATCCGATATATTGAAATTACTGTGATTTTTAATATTATATATATCACAAATCTTAATATAAATCAGATCTTTATTTCGACAATATTTTTCTTAATTAAACATAATCACAAAAAAGTAGAATAGAAATTAAAAAAAAAATAAAAGAATCATAAGGCATTTCATCTCTTAGAACACACTATCCTTTCCATTGCAATATCTCAGCTCAAGCGAGACCTGTCTCTCCATCCTCAGTTGCCTGTAGAAGTTCTCTATGAAATCGTCTGCCCTTTGGTTTATATCGTCCGTTGATGAGGCTGCAGATGAACCACTCATTGCCCTCGATATTGTCCTTGTCAGAGGCTGTGAAATTGAGCTCGAAGGCTTCGTAGGCGGCGGTGGAGAGGAGATAACTGGGTCGAACGGCCAGTGGTAGCTGAGCTCATCAGTGGCGTCGAGGAGTCCTGGTGAGAGTGGCTGGCTGTCGAGGCTAAGGCGGCGGCGAGAAGCAGTAGCTGTCGAGGAGAGGAGCCATTGCCGGAGGTTGAAGGAGAGGAGGAATCTCACCTTGGTTATGGTTTGTCTGAGCCGGCTTAGGAGATGGAGACTGCTAGGAGCCATCGAAGGGAGAGAGAGAGAGAGAGAGAGAGACTGAGAGGCCATTGGGTTTAAAGATGAAGAGGTGACGTCTTGAAGGAGAATAGCGAGTGGAAGTTTGTCACGCAGTCCAAAAATGATAATGGAGTGTTAAGGTTGTCTTTCTTTCGGAAGGGGGAAATTTCATCTGTGGACTTTTTGCATATTTGCCTGTTCTTGTTATGTATTTGCAAACACATTGAGGATTAAGATGTAATATTTTGACTGTCTATTTTTCTTTATGCTTTTCAAGTAAATGATGGGATGGCCGACTACTAATTCAAAATTGCTGATTTTGTGAATTTTGAATAGATAAGAAGAATATAACTACGTAATTCAGTATTTCATACTTACAGTTATGCACACATGTAATAATTTTTTTTTATTTAAGAAAATTTTTTTTAGTATTGATATGACATCAAAAAATTATCTTTTCAACTGGGCTAGGCCCGTGGTTTTTACACTTCCAGGGTTTTTCACGTAAAATATATTGTGTTCTCTGTGTGTGAGCTGGATATCCGTACAACGCTAAGACGTAAAATTACAACTCTATTGCCGCGTATATTTTAGCCCGCAACAAGTATATATATAAAATAATAATTTTATCCTTAGTTTTTTTTAATTATATATATTCTAAAATTATTATCCCTTGCCATTTCCCTTTTTTTTTTCTTTTGGGTATTTTCTCTTATTATACTTTGCTCTATTTAATTCTGATAATTAACGAGTGTGATAGCTTTATCAGAACTCTTTACTTGAATATGTTTAATGATATGGAAAAAAAAAAAAAAAATCATGATGCTGTGTTATTTAGCTTTGTTTTAAAAGGGTAAGTATGGAATGAATATTTAAATTAATTAGCCCCTTATCATGGTATTATTAATTTATTTCATTCATTTGAAATATTTTAATATTTTAATTCGTTTAATTGATATTTTATAATATATATAATAGAAATAAGCTCAATTGAAGTCTTAAAACTATGAAACTACACATGTTCATCCTAGTGTTTTAGTAGAGAGCTGTTTAAGCTTCATAACTCATGTAATAATGTAATATGTTGAATTTAATGTTATCTATTGAAGATATCAAATCCTACTACATGTATGAATTGAGCTTGAAAAACAGTTAGCGAAGCGAAGATAAAAATATTTAGTCTCGGTGATTCTTGTTGATTGAATTAATCCACATGATGTAACACTTTTTTTTTGGACATTTAGGCCAATCAAAGCAGACTCGCACACACATCACATACACAAGACTCGAATTCAAGACCTCTTAACTGATAGTCAAAACTTCTAGCCAATAGACCAAGCTGAGTTGTGTATGATATAACACTTTCTTTATATTCGTCTAAGTTGTATGCAAAAATTGTAATATTTTGCAATATTTGGAGTTGGCTGCCTTTGGTATTGGCCACTTATGGAGCTTAAGAGATCCTCTCTGCAGTAAAAAATTATTAGGTGCGGAGTGCGCACCGTCCGCACAAGCATTGGGTATGGTACCCAGCAGTACCAAGTGCGGGTACCGCTAGGTACCCAATGCTCGTGCGGACAGTTCTCCCAGTCTGCACTCCGCACCTAATAATCTCTTCTCTGCAGTTCACCATAGCGAATATGGAAATCGTTACGCTAACAAAATATATTAATTAGAGAATAAATACATCAATGATTATCTTTTATACCAAGGTGTTATTTCCCATAATCAATCAGTTTTATAGATGTTAGATGAAGAGCAAGCTAGAAAATTAGGAAGAAATATAAAGATGGTCATAGTGTTGCTGTAATTGATTTGCTCATATTATCAATAGTATATGATTACATTGCTTATTCAGGCTCATCATGATATGCTTTCTTTACAGTACTGTATATATTCAATATCTCATAAAATAGAGATATAAAGTTGAACAATATGCATGCCAAAGACTATATTATAAATAAAAAATTATTCTTTTCTTTTTGTTTTTTAATCTCTATAACCTCTAATATATATCGAACAAGCAAAATGAGTTTTTCATTGAGTCAATCAATGGTTTATTTGGAAGCCCTTTTTTTAAATAAAAAAAAAATGTAAATGTTCATCCAAACCTAACTTCCAATAAATGAAAAACAATTTCTATTTTTTAATTTATTAGATTGTTGACCCCAACACATTAAACTATGTGCAAAATGGGCAAAATCTTGAGGCAACGATAAGCAAATCCATGATATTGACACACGGCGTTATCCAAACAACATCCGACTTCAAAACGGATTTGAATGTTGCGTTCAGAATGTCGTCAATACTAAAAAATCACTAATAATTTGATTAATTAAAGTCGTGCGATGGGATCAGCACGGATCCCAAGGCAACAACACGTAAATCAGAGAAATTATCACTTGACATCACTCAAACGATGTCCGATCATAAAATGGACTTCACAGTTACATTCAAAACGTTGTCAATACTCAAAATTGATTGTAAATTTATCCGCTGAAGATCGCACGAGAAAATTTGCACGTATTTCGAGTCAAAATGCACGGCTTTTAAGGAAACACATGCAAATTGAAGCGTTGGTTCATGAATTTGAGGCGCCCGAATTTTCATTTCATATACGTAGCTTTTCATAATAATCATTTTAATAATAATGTATTATTATTTTAATTATTATTAAAAAAATTAATCAAAATTCAAATTAAAAATCAACTCAAAATTAAAACTTATATATTTTCTGACGACGCTCTAGATCGAGTACCCATTATCCTGCTGAAATAAACCTCAGATAGACGTCATTCACCTCGTTTGAATGAAATTTTGAATGAACTTTTCCACCTCAATCGGCCGAACCCGATTCCTACAGCAATCAGCTATTTTTGTTGGAAAATTTTTATATGAGTTACCTCATATCCAAAAATTAAATTGTAAAAATTTTTGACACATATTAACTCATAAAAAGTATTTTATTCTAATTTAAAAAAAATAAGAAAAAATATTTGCATTTAAGATTTTAATAAAAAAATAAAAAAATTCTTATGTACCTCATATCCAAGGCACAGTGAAAAAAAGATAGAATTGTTTTGATTTTTTTTATTTATCTCTCCTATTTTATTTCTTTCTTTTAATTTTTTTCTCTGTCTTATTTTTTCTCTCCTGAATTTTTTTTTTTTAAAGTTTTTATAACTTGAGCAAGTTGCTCATTCATTAGGCGACTTTGACTAGTTTTAAATTTATTTATTTTGTTGATTTAATAGTTAATTAAATTTTTAATAATGTTTATTTTAAAGATTTTCTTAAAAGTGTTTAAAACCTGCAGCCTGTCATCAACCTGCCACTTTCAACCCATCTTCCTACACTCCAAAGCCCACAAACAACCCTCCAAAATAGCCCCGTTGCACTCTCAAAACAACCAGCTTTCAAAGCCCATATACTACACTTAAAAAGTCTAGTAGCCAACCCATTTACTCACTATAATCTACATAAATCAACCCTTTAAAGAAACCTATAGCACATTCAAACACATCCCATTCAAACCCAGTTACTCCCTGGGTAGTGTCTTATTTCAAAGACAATCTGCCATCTGAAAATTACCTCGGAACCTAATTCGTTAAAACTCTCCTAAGATAAGAGAGGTCGATTTTCGGAGCCACAATTGTATAAAACATGTTCATTAATGGAGGAATCTCATATCACCATATATATATCTTTCTTGGTGTAATAGGTAGCGGTGTCAATTTCGGGTCACGGGTCGGGTTCGGGTCGGACCCGGCTGACCCGGGTTCAAACGGGTCGACCCTAACCCGACCCGGTTAGGTAAACGGGTAGGAAATGCAAACCAGGACCCGACCCGGTTGGTTGCCGGGTTGACCCGTCCCGACACGGGAACTGTCGTGCGGGGCGAGTCGCGCGGAGCTTTCGCGCGGGGTGAGTGTGCTGCGACGCGGCAGCGGGGTGTGCCGGAGTGGTCGCGGGCAGCAACT